TTACAGAAGGGTTGTGTGATTTTCCTCAACAGAGTTCAGGTGATCAGGTGCACGCAGCGAGGAAGCGCTCAGGGTAACTAGGTTTAAGCACGACTGTGTGTGAGATTAGAAAAAAAGAAGAGAGAAGTTCAGGGTAATTGTATAGGAGTTCTAATGATAAACCATCAAATCTAAGCGGGTAGGGAGGGAAGAGGGAACATGAAGGGAGTGATGGATAATAATGATAAAGGGGTCATTAACTGACGAGGTCTCTACAAAGTCTCTGTAAAGTGAAAGAATTGTATCAGGAACATAGGAAATGCAGCTGATCAGTGAAAGCCTCAGTGCTTTTTCATGAAATAGTCTGCTGAAAGCCCGACGTTTATGGATGGGGTAAAATATGGGAGATAGACTCCATACACAAAACTGTTTTATGAGCACCGTTACAAGGAGAAAAGTACAGCATATATATAAGGACTTGTGAAGTCCTTTACCATAACTTTGACTTTATGTCACACCTCCGAAGAGGAGTGCCCATAATTCCCATACTTTATTATACTCCCAGCATCCCTAGCGGAAAGGAGATGTGTTATTGATAGGCAACTGCACGTAGAACATTTAAGTGACTAATGAAGTCTTTAAGCACAATAGTGGTAGAACTGAGAAGACCAGAGCACTCACTTACGTACTGTACTAGCCACACTGAACACTCCCCAAATGACACGATGTGTATCGCTACCTAAATCACCCGGTCACACAGGCTGTGGTTTAATGGACATCTCTATTTCAATTACTCTATTTAGTGCCTCTTACCCTGCCAAAGCCCAACTTTGATGCAACTAGCTGCCTAGGAAGGATAAATTCTCAAAGCTGTGCCCTCCACAAGTAATTTTAGAATACGAAGGTATAAAGTAAATGAACGGCATTTATTATCACTTAATTCTGGTGATCCCAGGCACAAAGCCAAAGCATTTATAGATGTGGTAAGTACCAGCTGCTGTACTTGAAACTATTTTATGAGCAACATTGCACCACGAGTGCAGATTCTGCCTGCCTTCATTTGTTGGCTTTCTTCACCACTGTCATCATAAGCCAACGTTCACTGAATGTCCACAGGGTTTGGAACTATATAATGCTCTATTTATGCACATATGTATATTTTTTAACAAAGTTACATAGTAAGAAAAAGGAAAATATGAATATTATTACCTTTTAAAAGGGCGTTCTGAGAGAGGAGCATGACGGAAAATATACTGGAAATTATTTTATTTATTAATGTACATACTGTGCTTCTTTTTTGATAAAATAGCTGAAATAGAATCATTTCAGTTGTGGTGTATGCTATTTAAATCAATTTGCTGCCTGAATTACTAAACTGGCTTCAGAAAATGATCCCAGAAAAATAATATCTACATTATTATTATTCTTATCCCAGTAAAATAACATATCAGTGTAGCTTCATCTTAATTTATACTAGAAGCACATTCTGAGGTCCTCATATTAAGCTTTAATTCAAGTACACTTTCATCTTGAAAAAGCTGACTGGCCTGCTTTTGGGCCTGTTGAAATGAGAACACATTTCAGTGAGCCCCAGAGAGGATCAACATACAGGTTTCAAATGCCCCCTGGTGGTTGATAAGCAGAATAACCAAATAAATTCGAAGTCTGGAATAAACAGGTTTTTTAATTCATTCAAAAGAACATGTCAAGAATTTACTGTTTCACACCGAAGATCAAAAGAGAAGTGGGATACAGTTTGTGTCATAGTAAAACGAGGGTAAAAAGATAATTTCAACTCACCCTGCTAAGTGCCATTATAGTGATTTTTTTTTCTATTCTGATCAAGTTATGCTGGTCTTTATTTTTGTAGGTATTCTCATGGCAATTAATATTATTTATAAATTCCTGAAAAATAAAAGCAGCTATTTTCCACACAAGTGTAATTTATGTATCTAAATAAATCTAGAAGACACATAGTAAATAAATATTTTTAGTTTTTCCTAGGAGTAATGTGAATCCATATTGCTTTTTTCTGATTACCCAGATTGCTTTTTATAATTATCCTAATAATATTTACAGTTTTAAAAATTATTTTCATTCTTTCCAGGTCAGCATTATCAGATCTGTTGAGCAGACGAGGAAACTGAGGCAGAAGAGTCAGCCTTACCTGATAATTCAGTATAATAGATGAGACCACAGTTCAAATTGTCTGATTGCACCTCTTAGTTTTCTTGGAAGATTCATCCAATGACTTTTGTGTGGTTTCTAATGGTAAATATGAGGGGTTTTTATGGAGTCACTGAGTAACATGAGATAGCCATTTACAAGAAGGGTTAACACACAACACACACACACACATTGGATCATTTCCAACATCAGCTACTGAGCAGCTGTCACAATTCTCTTGAGTTGGATGGAGTCTTTTTTCAAGTTATGAAATGTCCCATATCCAATTACCAATCCCCAGAAAACCCAGGCCCTGGCTTTGCACTGTGCAACCAAATGATACACTTGTGATGCCAGAGCAAAGCGATTACATAAATAATTTACTTAGGTCTTCTTTAATCCTATACAAGAGAAGCTTATGGTAATCTTAATTAGTATTTTACTCACCCAGCACAGTCATGTAACAGTAATCTTCTATTGAATTTCCAACATTGAGCACAAAAGGGTGCAAGATTTTTAAAGAATGTGTTCCTAGTTTACATAAATCAGTGATGTGAGTCAAAATATACACAAAGTCCGTTTATTTAAAAGGTATCAGTGTTCTAGATGCAAACTATAATTTCTAAGATGTCAAAAAAAACCCTAGAGGTGGTGGGGGAGTTCTCAGCATTATTATTTTAAATCTAGGCTCTTTAGTATTTTGAATTGCTATTACATATTTTCGATTCACCAATTTTGTTCCATTTCAAAGTATTTTCATAACTTGTTTTCCATTTTCTCATATTTGCTTTTGAGCTATTAAAAGTTATTTCTATGAGCAATTTTTGATTCGCTTTCATATACAGTAGTATGAAATAAAAACTACTCATTTTTAACATTTATGTACCATTTAAGATTGTTTCCTTTTTGATAATCGGTAGCAGAATGGTGAATGTAACTATCATTACTTTGGATCATTGCTTTACAAGAGATGAGGCGAAACAAAAAATTCTTTGGGGTAGTTTTATGATATTTTTGTGTGTATCTTGGACTCAAAATTTACATAATTAAGTCTAGTTGGTTCAATGACTACACTTAAACTATAAATTCATCAGAAATACAAAGTTGTATCTCTAGAACATGAACCAAAAATTAACATAAAGGCTTTCCTCAGCTACACTCAATTGTTACCTTCTTTGGTGCTCCTATAATGTTCATTCACTAGTGCATTCATATATTCCTTTGTCCATTCACCCACAAATGAGTATCATACAAAGTAAAAATTAGTCATGTTTCCTTCCCTCCAGGAGATGCATGTTGAAGTTGGAAAACCAGTGTTGAAATTAAGCACAGGTGCTTCTTACCGAAAAACAGTGGTGGGGAATCTAAACCAGAGCAAGAAACGTCAGAATATTTCGGCAATGACTCAAGCTGAATTTTGAAGGGCAAGTAGGAATGCCGTAAGTAGAAAGGCTTTCCATTTCCGTGGATTTTCCAATGTATTACAGGTGTAACAACTTGGTACTTTTGGGGCCTCTTTACCCAGAGAAATAAGTAAATGGCAGATCAAGAAGGGCCTAGGTGGTACGGCAGAGCTTGAATTTTACCTTGCAAACTAAGAAGTTATTGAGAAATTTCAAGTAGGGGAATAAAATGACCAGGCTTGAATTTTAGTAAGGTCACTTAGGCAATAATGTGGAAGATATATTGGAGGAAACATGGAGCAACTGGAGTGCGGAAATATTAAGAGCCGACTCAAGTAATCTGGGCTTGAACTAAGAGGGCCTAAGTTAAGCAGGCAAGGGGACAATTTAGTCTTGCTACACTCAAAATGGTCTTGATCAGCAGCACAAGCATGTTTGAGAAGCTTGCCTGAAATACAGAATCTTGTGCCGTATCCCTTACCTTCAGAATCAGTATTTTAACAAGCTCCTCAGGTAATCTGTATGTCTGGGAGGCACCACACAGTAGGGGCAGTTACTGGAGGAAAAAGAAAATCACTCTCAGGTGGGGTCAGTTTGAGGTGTTTATGGAACATTCAAGGAAGCTGATCCATAACAGTTGATGTATGGATCTGGAGGCTGGGCTGGAGATGCAATTTAACATTTATCAACCTGTTAGTATTTGAAGCCATGGTCCGACCCAACTTTCCTGGTATCTGCCCAGGAAATTATATCATTAGGCAGAGGGCCCAGAGGGAGCACTAAGAAACACCATTATTTAAAGTTCCATACAGCAAAAGGTATCCACAAGAAACAGAAGGAGCTTCCAGTGGTAGGTATAAACAACGTGAGCAGTGGGAAGAGTTCCAAGTGGCCGGATGGTCAACATTCTTGTTTTCCAGCAGAGGTCACATAAGAATAGACAAAAGTCCATGGATTTGCCAATCTTGATGTCAGAGTAAAGCTATGGATGGAGATTATTTCCCATTAAGTTCTTTCTTGACCTTAGTAAGTGGGGATGCAATTTAGTTTCTGCTTTCAAAGTTCAGATGAGTAGAGTATGTGAGAGGAGCTTGGTATGGAGCCAGTTTGCAAATGTTCTCTCTTCCAATAAGATGGTAAATTCTTTGAGGAATAAGGAAGGCACATAAAGATGAGTAAGACCCGGTCCTAACCCTCAGCGTTTATAACAAATAAGATATCTGTAGTACAAGGTGGGACATATATTATAAAATATTATAGGAATTCAAAAGAGGCATACACTACATCCAAACAATCAGAAGAGGCTGCTTACCTCTCCTCAACTGTTATTACAGAGATTTGCTTACTTAACATTTACATACTTAACACTTAAACTATATTCACTGCTTGACTTTTTCTCTTAACAAATCTGATGAATTATTAATAAAGTCCCATTTATTCCAAAATCCAAGGAAACTTCAAACTCATTCATGAGATATTTATTAAAATAACACATTTAGGGAAAAAAATCAATACAATTGTATACATCATTACTGAAAACTGTATACCATCATACAAAAAAGGATTTTATTTTGGGAAATCAATTCCTAATTTATGGCAAGTTTTACTTTCAGAAATAAAACCACAAAACAACACAATCTAATTCAATCTTAAAGGCTGGCATGCTGAGCAAGGAATGTTCTTATTCTTTGTAGGAGCTCCTTCTTTACACTGTCAGGTACCAGGGCTGAAATATAAAAATAAAAACATAAGAGTAAAGAAGATCCCAATTAATATATGTCAATTTGAGATCTGGTATTTTATTCAGGACTACCAACAAAATAATTTCAAAAGTAACCCTTATGCTTCAATAAAAAAATAAAGACATTTGAGAAAATAAAGTATATTTGCAATTCATTATTTGAATGAATTATCCAATACCTAAAAATATATTGCACATGTGAAAATTCTTTAAACTAGGAATAGAAAAGGCCTTTTTTAAACAGAGGCTGTAAAAGATTAATGAATTTGATTCAAATGCAACAACTTAATAAGCTTGGTCAAAATTACCATAAACAAAAACAAAAACTGAGAAAACACTGCTAATCTCTCTACTACACAATTTCTTCAATTTGATATGAAAAAGAGCAGCAGGCTTACAGAAAAATGAGCAAAGGAGATGAAGAAAAGGAGAGGCATATAGTTCTTGAATGTAAAAGGAGTTTAACCTCACAACAGAAATGAAAATTAAAACCACATTCAGATAGCATGTTTTACCAATGAGACTGGCTAAAATCCAAAGGTCAGTAATGTATATATTGGCAAGACTGAGGGAAAACTGGCCCTCTCATATTAGCTGGTGGGAGAATAAACTGACAAAACATTTTGGGGAAGGTAATTTGGCAATACTGTATTGAAATAAATGCATATACTTGAATGAGCAAAGATGCAAAAGCTTCAACAGTAGCTGTATTTGTTATAGGCTTATTTTTAAAATTTTGAACCATGTAACTGTATTATCTACTCAGAATATTAAACTAAAAATGGGAAAACGGGAGTTCTCTGGTGGCCTAGTGGCTAGGATCCCAGGCTTTCACTGTTGTGTGGCCCGAGTTCAATCCCTGGTTGGGAAACGGAGATCCTGCAAGCCGTGTGGCATGGAAAAAAAAAAAAAAAAAAGGAAAAAAAGCCCTGCTCTTTGAAATTTAAATTAATATTAAATGTCAATAAATAAATCTACACTATTTCCCCCTTTTGGCTACTAAAAATAAGGACAATAGGGAATTAACTATACAGATACTCCTCTTTATAAATTTACTGTAAGCCTGCGTAGAAATGAAGACTACATAATTAATACAAGTCCACTGCAAATGTGATCACTATGTATGTTAAATATACTTTTAATCAAAATTATGGTGATGGAGAACAGATCAGCTGGCTTGGGGTTAGAGATGTGGTGTAACTATGAAGGAACAGCTTGAGGGAGTTTTTTAGAGTGAATCTATACATGTGTATAAAGTTCATAGAACTGACACTAAAAAAGGGTCAATTTTACTGTATGTTAATTTAAAAAATAAAAACAAATACCTCTCTTGACAATAAAAAGAACACTATGAAAATAAAAGAAAAGATTTATTTTTACTTCTCTTTTCTTTTTTGCTCATTCTCTAGCAAGGGAGCTACAACGGATTGAAATGTCCAACACACAAGTATTGAAGGAGAAGCAAAGGATGATTTCTACCCTGTTAACAGATTAAGCATAAATTACAGAAGAAAAGTAGAAAAAGAAATTACAGAAATTTATTTTAAAACATAAATCCATGGGGAGAACAATAAATACTGCTTTTTCCCCCTCCTTTTCCTGAGACATGATTGACCAAAAAAGTCATGTTGTTTAGCTGTAAACAGCCCTAAAAAGATGGCTGGAAAGGACCACGAGATGTTGTCGCTCCTTCCACATGGTAGCAGTTCAGGGGACTAGTATTCCCTAGTAATAATTTTAAAATCATTTACTTTTCACACTTAAATTCTTTTTACTATTTCTGTGTGAGGAAATAACGGGTCATCTAATTTACCTGCTTCCACTTACAATACAACTCTCCCTCCCCCCACTGACTTCCTCAAATGAAATGATGAAAATAATCTCATTACACTTAATTATATGATGTAATTCCTGACTTAATACTTATTACATATAAATATTTTGTTAATAGTTTGTTAATATACTACTTCCTCTCTTTCCTTTGGCTTCTCTAAACAAGGTATTAAAGGGAGAAATTAAGAAGGTAGTTGAAGTATGAGTCTTAAATATGAATTACCCTGACCATGAAGTTATGGAGCTACCAAATTCGTAATTAGACATTCAAGAAGACATTTTTGTTTATTTTTAGTAAGGAAAGAGAGCAATGACTCAGGGGCTGGTGTAAAGCTCTGAATTATTAAATATCAGGCTAAAGTTTACAAATCCTAGCTTCAGGTAATATTTGCCTCTACAAAATCCTGTATTATAAAAATGGTCTGTTCTAACAACCACATCAACTTATATTTGTGTACTGTTTTAACAGTGCAAAAACGTTTTACACCTCTTACTTGTTTGTTACTCAAGACCATGCACAAAAGTTGGTGAGGCAACTATAACTCTTCCCAAAGAGGAGATGCAAGTACCCACATAATTTTGGAAAGGGTGCTTTTCCTTGTAAAAAGACAGAAAAGCTGCACCAGCAAAAGAGAGAAAAAAAAAATCATGTCTTAGCCCACAATTCCTTTCACACAATTTGTATTCATTCCTTACCTCTGCCTTTTGGTGTGATTTCAGCCACCAAGTCATCAACAGTAACGTGTTCTAGTCCTTTTTCTTTAATTACCTCTTATGCAAAAGCAAAAAACAAATCATATCATTTAAAATCATTATCTGTAAGAAAGATTTTCATAGAGGAAGGGTTAAGATCATGTTTTTAGAGTACAGACTGGTCTTTAAAAAAAAAAAGAGGATACTTCTTTTTTTCTTTTCTAATGAAGGTTTATTTCAACCTTAAACACAGTATGTATTCACCAGATCAAAAACATAAAATAATTATAACACTTAGAATGAATCTGAACTGTAAATTCACATCTAATATTTGTAAAAAACTGGAAACTTACAACTGCACAGATCTTATTTCATGATAATCATATCAGCTCTTGAATGTATGGAGGGGAAAAAACTGTAATTTAAGTCTAACTTGTAATTTCACAGCCCCAAATTAAAATACAGAACAACTCCTTTGCTCCTTTCTCTTCTCTAGGCTGGGCCAAAAGAAGGAGAAAGGAGTTTACACTTATTGGACCCCTATTATGTGCTGGGTGCTTTGCATCATTTAATATTCACGATAAGCTGACAGGCTGGGCATTTTTCCCACTTCAGAGGTGAGGCAAGTGAGGCTTAAAGATTAAATAACTCATTCAAACACGACTTGAAATCCAGCTCTAGTCTTACCAGTGAAGGTCTGTATGACCTCAAAGTCTATGCTTTTATTGATTTGGCACATTGCCTTCTTCCGGTTAATGATATAAATAGTTTCTATTATCATTTGTAGAAACCAATATGAGAATTCATTATAAATATCCAGAATTCCAGCATACCAAAAGCTGAGCCAGAAAGGAAGGAGGCTCATCTTAGTGACACTTGTAATTCTATCTAATGGCATAATCATCAATACCTAATTGCAATTTAACAAGCTCCCATTTTATAATTTTAAAAATACATGTAATTTTCTAAGAGCTTTTATAGATGATTTTTTCAAAAATAACACTGTTAAAGATAGGAGATATAATTCCTGTAAGTCTGCCAACCGTACAGTGCTCAATGTGTTAAGAAAAACAGACTAGGAATAATTAATGTTTCACTTTGAGTAGGCACAGCAAAAAAGGTGGGATTCCATATTCCATGCCAGAGGAAATCTTGCCTCACTTGTTTTAAGAGAAACACAAAGAAAATTTCTAAAAATTAAGGAATAGGTCTACATATTATCACTGAGAGGAGGTAATCTTTACCATCAAGCTTCAATTTTCTATTTGTTTAAAATTATGCTTGAGCACTCAGTATATCTTAAAATACTGACTATAATTTTTCTAATGAATTCCAAACCAACACAGTTGAGAGCTATGGAATTAGCTTATCTTCTAAATGAAACAGATTACCTTTACAGTGTGCCTTCAACTGATCCTTCCAGCCACATTCAATTAATTTAGCTCTCAGCAACTCTTTGAGGCTGTTGAAAAAGAAGTGTTTCCAAATTAAACTACAATAGTGTTCAAGTGTACAATATCTTAGATAGGAATGCTTGAAGCAAAGCTTCAACTGTTCAATTAAAAATCCCACCTTCCAGTTATAAAACTTTAACCATGGCCTAATCTTGGTTCTACCACTAAAAAGTTCTTTGGTCTTATGCAAGGCATTTAAATGCTGGGCCTCATTTTTGTCATCAGTAAAATTCAATGAAGTGGATGGGGTACAATTCTTCTTAAGAAACCCTACTCTCTGGCCTTCTTACACACTTTCTACTTCCCTCCACCAACAGGAATATTGTGGGTTTTGTACAACTTAAGAAGGGTATTAGTTGAGTTTGAAGCAGCTGTACTTTTGAAATCTTCAAACTCCAAAATCCATTCTTTAACTACAAATTCTTACCCATTAGCTCTCTTATTGCCTCGTTATATAACTAATCTCAGACTTGCCCCTCCCTTTTTCTCATTATCCTTCTAAATTACACATTAACTATGGTATTTCATTAATTCTAAGACTGTGCTTTCCCACATTTTAACAAGTCAGTAATTGGCATACCTATCATAATTTAATTGGCAATATTTTCTTTATTCTTAAAGGTTAAAAAAATATTGGTGGGTATTACAACTAATGGCATCATGGGTGCAATAAAATATTTTATCCTTCTGCAATACCTAGTCTTATAAAACCTCAATCTTCAACCTAAATCACCTCATTTCTCAGCTTAAACATGTCAAGTCCCAAACCAAACTGCTTCTTTTTCAGTATTCCTAACATCCACTTATGTGACATTTCCATCTAGATGTTTAAGTCATTTAATCGTAACAGGGACAAAACCCAACTCTTGCTTCTCTTCCATCTCAAGCTGTTCTCCTTGTCAGACTGGCCACTCCATTCTTCCGGATCCTCAGGCTAGAAACCTTGGCAGCATCCTTCATTCAGCAATTATTTTTATTTATTTATTATTATTAGTTTTTGCGGTATGCGGGCCTCTCACTGTTGTGGCCTCTCCTGTTGCAGAGCACAGGCTCCGGACACGCAGGCTCAGCGGCCATGGCTCACGGGCCCAGCCGCTCCGTGGCATGTGGGATCTTCCCGGACCGGAGCACGAACCTGCGTCCCCTGCATCGGCAGGCGGACTCTCAACCACTGCGCCACCAGGGAAGCCCCAATCAGCAATTTTGATAACACTAATGTCCAACCCATAAGCACATCCTATTGGTTCCAGTTTTAAAATATATACCTGATATCCAAATGTTTCTCACCACCTCTGCCATTACTACCTAGTTGAAGCCACCATCTTCTCTTGACTGGACTGTTGCCAAAGCCTCCTAACTCGTCCCCCTGCTACTTCCCTTGTACACGTCCTTCTCCTCTCACTGCTCAAAACCCTCCAGTGGCTTCCCAATTTACTCAGAATACAATTTCAAGTCCTTACTACTACCTAAATGACCCTGCATGGTCTGCCCCCTCCGAAGCAATGCCTCTGACTTTACTGTTTCCTTCACCCAGCTGACTCAGTCTTATTAGTTTCCATGGGTTCCTCAAAATGCCAGGCAAGGGAACTCCCTGGCTGTCCAGTGGTTAGGACTTGGCGCTTTCACTGCTGGAGCCTCGGTTCCATCCCTGGTCCAGGAACTAAGGTCCCACAAGGCACACAAGGAAAAAAAAATGCCAGGAAAGCTCCTGTGTCAGGACCATGGCTCTTAGGAGTCCCCTCACTCCCTCATATCCTTTTGATCTCAGTGAAGCCTACTTTTTTTTTCTTATCCAAAATAACACACCTGATTATTCTCTGCTTTATTTTTCCTCTAGAACTCATCACCATCTGACATATTACACATTATTTTCTGTCTCCTCCCATTAGAATGTAAGCTGTGTAAAAGAACAGGCTTCATTTTGTTCACTACTATATCTCCAGCACCTAACAGGAATATGGTAGAAACTCAGTAACTCTAAGCTGCATGAATGAAAACAGATAAAAAAACAGTAATACATAATACCCTATACCCATTATTGGCAATACTATCCTCTCAGTTTCCCAAGGCACTGTTCTAGAGGCTTTCTTCTTCCTCATTCCTCATGTCAAGGGTTGTTGATTTTACTTAAAAAAAAAAAAAACCTGTAAGTTCTCCTTTCCATTTTTGCTGTTTTCCACTTTTAACCTATTATCTTCTGCAATTTATCTCTAGCCCTTCAAGTCTATCCTCCATACTGCCAAAATAACATTCCTAAAGTGCAAATATGATCTAGTCAGTCCCTTTCTTAGAATTTTTTAATGACTCCCACCACCCAAGGATAAAGTCAACAACAGATGTTTTTGCAAACTACCACCTATTTTCCTGCCATTTCTTTGACAGTAAAAACACTCCACAACTCTCGGTGTAAGAAATCCGGGTAGGGCTCTAGCAGTGGAAATGTGACCTAGGCAACGCTGATTATGAATGGCCTATTACCTTAAGTAGGATGGTAATCTAGCTAGGTCCTTTGCTGAAACTACTAGGAGAACGGTAGTCTCAGGTGGAGAGATGTAAATTTTGAACTGCTAATTTCTGCCACCTTGTGGGTAGTGCCTTCTTGAGAATAAAGCCAACAGAGAGGAAAGCAGAGATGAGAGACGGAAAGACAGACATGTTCTTGGCAACTATTTTTGAGTGCCTGAAGCACCTTCAAGTTCTAGACTTTCAGTCACACGATCTTATATAGAAATTGGCTGAGCCAGTTACTGAGTTCAGTTTCTTATCATTGTGAATGGAAAGATTTCTGATTATACAAAAGCCACATTTCTCCTGTCCACTGTCTTTCACATTTTAACTGCACAGTTCCCCAGAATATTATCATATTGTAACAAATCTCTTTGACTGTGCATATTCGGTTCCATTTGCCTAGACTGTCCTTTCTCCTTTACCGGGTTGGGGAACTGCGAATCCTTCTTACCCAGCTGAAGTACCACTTCTACTATTCTGTGAGAGCTTTACTGACTACCTTAATCCCCAGGTAGAACTGAGAGATCCCTCTTGTTCCTTATATTTCTCTCATACAATTTATCACCCTGCTCCTGGAAGCTTTTTTGATTCCTTAGACTCTCCTCTGTACTTCCAAACCTGTTCATTCTTCAAATATTTACCTGGCCAATTATGTGCTAGGCACGATGCTCGGTATACAGTAGTATTTCTGCTGTCAAGGAACTCAGATTCTATTGATACAAACTAGCAAAGGAGGTGATTATAATACAAAGTGATTAAATACTATGATGGAACAAGGTATTTGGGAGTTAACAGATTTCTAGAAGAGACGATACTTAAATTAAGACCTGATAATGAGCTAGAATTAGTTAAAGATGGGGGGAAGGAAGAAGAATGTTTCAGAGAGTAGGAATAGCACACATTGCTCTGAGGTTAAGAGAGCTTGGTAACTGAAACTGGTTCCATCATGTTGTCTCCCTGTTAAAAAGTGGGTAACATTTTATCTTCAATTGTAGTTATCTGGGTATGTATTTTTCTTCTCCATTAGATTAGACATTTTTTGAGAGAGAGTCACTTCCTGTTCATCTTTGTACATGATCCACTTCCCTCCAAGTCTTGCAATATTGAACAGACCTAAGCATTTTTAACAGATGTTAGGAATTGCTTTTGATAATCTCAATTTTCTGTAATTATTTCCACTGACATCAGTTTTGTTACTTTTTAGATTCTTATAACTGTAATTTAAAGATGTTAAATGTAATTAATTAACACAATCGATTACTTACCGTTCTCTTTCTCCAGTTTCTATCAACTTTTGGTTAATTGCTGCTCTCATCTGCGCATCTTTGTTCATCTTGCTAACCTGAACATCAACACGTATTTTCAGATATAGAACACTTACAAAGCATTTTCTTCTAAATCCTCTCAAGCACCTCAACACATTTAACATTCTGTCTATCAACTGAAGGGGTGATAAATTTCAACAATGTGTTAACAAGGTCCTTACTCCTAATATTATTTACTGCATCCCAAGAAGTCATGATCATGACTTTACAATTTTCTTCCCCCATGTACCCTTTATTAATAAGTCTCTAGATAATGACAATTACTGTAACATTTATTAAACACTTATGTACCTGGAACTGAGCTAACGCACTGAGTTTTTAATCTCATTTAATTCCCAGATCTTATTCTTTTATGCAAGTACTATTAACATAGTTTGTATTTTACAGATGAGGAAACTGAGGCACCGAGATAGAAAAGTGGTGAAGGCAGGACTTGAACTCAGGTTCTGTGACCCCAGAAGCCGCAAAATACTTTAACCACACATAATAACTGACTGCTAATCATTTCTGCATCTTAATTAACTGTATTCAAAATTTGGGGGAAGCTATATAACCTAAATATCAATAGAAGAGTAAGCACAGTTTGTGAAAAATGAAATTCCTGGGTAAGGATCTGAAGTGCTTTACTTTACTTTCCACTAGTATGTACCCAGAATTACAACTGCCAAACTAGCTTTAAGTATGTGTGTGTGTATATGCTCTTTATCAAAGCTTGCTGGTTGGGTTAAGGAGAAAACAAATACCAAATTAATTCCTAACTTAGAAAATTCTCAGTTTTCAGTAAAAACGGACAACCAAAACGGTGTAAAAAGGACAGGGAGGATAAACTGTAAAACCTGGAATAAGGTAACGTTACTCCACTTATCTGTCACCAACTTGAGACTACTTTTGTTGTCCCCAACCTCGCTCGCCGCCTCTATGAAGACTCAAGACTGGCAGTGAGTTTTCAGAGTTGTTTTTTTTTTTTTTTTTAATGGAACAGGAAAAAGGAGAGGTTGAGAAGTGACTAGGATATATTTGCTTTTGCAGTTGGAGGCTAACATTTTCAAAATAATACTAAGGTCTAGTCCGTACCATTAGCAGAATACTGAACTTGATCTTGCCTTGGCCCCCAAAATACGGAGAGTGACCTTGGACAAGTCAGTTCTTAAAGGCCTCAGTTTTCTCACTGGTAAAACAAGGGCGCTAGGGCATCCCTCCCAGTTCAGACAGTCTTTGGGAAAACAGAATAGGGCGGAGACAGCGGGAGAGGCGGGAGGGGAGGAGCCAGAAAACAAAGCGAGGACTGGCTTCAGGCCAACTCCGGTAGCACGCCCTGTCGGAGAGCCCTACAGGCCCGCGAGCGCGGGTCGGGGAAGCTAACGAAAGACAGCACATCGAAAGGAGCCTGGGCTGGGCCCGGGTCCCGGCCCTGAGGACCACGGGCATAGCTCACCACCATCACCGCGGGCGAGGGCCGTCCCTTCCCAGCGACGAAATGACCCTTGCGCTGACGACCGTTACCTACCACACTCTTCGGCTGCCCGGACCTAGACCCTCAGTAGCTCGGGCACCTAAGCACACAGAAAGCTAGCACACGCATTTCCGGGGCGGGGTCTCGCCACCCTGCCTATAATGTGAGAATTTAACCAGCGCGGGCCGCCTCCTGGTCGCTCAGCCCTCTGGGTAAGAGAGTCCAGATCCTGCTGTCACACGGGCATTAAGTTCCCTAAAAACTACATATCCCAATATGCAACAGAGCCAACTTCCCCGTGGGCACTACATTACCCAGAAGGGATATTACGCCGCAGTGTTTTCTGGGATGGGAAGCACGCCGCCTCCCTGCCACGGTAATATGCGTGAAGCGCGGACCTTTCAACCCGAACTTTATTAATTCTCACGCTAGGCCCCCGGAAGGCGATGGAGGTGGCCGCTAATTGCTCCCTGCGGGTGAAGAGACCTCTGTTGGATCCCCGCTTCGAGGGTTATAAGCTTTCCCTCGAGCCACTGCCCTGTTACCAGCTGGAGCTTGACGCAGGTGGGTAGCGGCGGTGCCCCCTAGCACTCTGTTGCTTTCTCCTTTTGGCTTCCGAAACTCGACGCTTCCTGCATTTTCTTCTTTTCTGACTCCGGGTAGCCAGGCGACCGTGGCCTTCCTCACGGCCTGCCGGGCAGGGGTGGACCAGAGTGGCTGGTTCTGGAGAATGATGCCCATCCCCGGCCCCCAGGGGAGCCGCCTTCGAGTGGCTCTGCCGTAGCGGGACCCTGGGCCGGCTCTAGGCTCCGCTGCCCGTGCTCCGAGGTCCTGCATGCGGGTGCTTTCTGGGCTCCGCCCGCCTGTCGGTCCTGGCCTGGCCCCTGCTGCGGAGAGAGCTCAGGGCAGGCTTTCCTCCTGGAGCATTCCCTGTAAACGTGTGCGTTGAGAAGTCACACCTCTTTGGAGGACCTTCTGCTTCTGTTTCCTCTGGCCGAGACCCAGTTCTTAGAAGAGAAACTCCATTGCAGTTAGGAGCGTTTTCAATTACCTACGGGCCGTCAGATTAAGGACTCTATCGTAGATTACATCTCGAGAAATATTTGAGGAAAAGTTGGTTTAGTACTCACACTTCTACTACTTGTTTTGTTTATCTGTAGGTGGCGGGAATATTCATCCTTGTTTTTACAAGGTAAAGAATGGCATTTTTGTTAATGATAAAGAGCTCAAAGATTGCATTTTTAATACACAGCCCTGCTGATTCTGATGCATGTTGTCAGTGGATCACACTTTGAGAAATAATCTAGAGTTAATAAGTTTTATAGAATCAAATACGTGTTTATTCATTTAATATATAAATTACATAAGTTCAGAAATCTCTGTTGAGAGCCTGTTTTATGTTACATGTTGATACAGTCAAGATGAATATGACACAGCCAGTAACATAAAAATGCTGTTGTCTAGTTAGGAAGAAAAGTGTAAGCAAATAATTATAAGACAGTAAGACTGTCTTATAATTAGGGATTATATGGGATTATAAGGGATATGTACAAAACATATTGATAACGTTTCAGTATCTTTCCCAAACCAGCCTGGGACATCTGGGAAAGCTTCCAAAAGAAGTTGATATCTAAGTTGAGCTTTAAAGAATAGGTAGTTGATCAGGGTAAGAGAAAATGAGCTTGATGTTTCTTTTCATTCCCTTCCTTTCTCTCTCCCACCCCATATAAATGAATGATACCACCATGTTAGTTAGCCTTGCATTAAAAAACCACCCCAAAACTCAGTGGCTCAAAACAGTAAGCAGTTATTATTGCTTACAAGTCTACAGGTCAGCTAGGTGGTTCTAGTCATGACTGTACTTTCTCATATGTTTGGAGTTTCTCTGGCTGTAGGCTGATTTAAGATGATTTCAGATGGTCTTTATCCTTCAGCATGCTGGCACAGGGTTATTCCAAGAGTCTTGTCTTGAAGAGTTTTTCAAGCTCTGATTGTAGTAAGTGTGCTATTGTCCCTTTGGCCAAAGCAAGTTGTATAATCAAGCTTAGAGTCAATATGGGAAGCTCAAACCAAAGGGCATAATAGGTCCAGGGAAGCATAAAAAATTGGGACTACTAGTGCAGGTTGACATAATTGCTCATGCGAGAGTCACCTTTGGTGTATTTCTTCTCTTTTATCCCCTATTGTTTCTCAGCAAATCTAGTCAGCTCAAAATCTTGACTTTTCCATGCCTCTACCGTTGTGCAAATCCTTGTTATCTCTTACCTGAACTATAGTACCTTCCTGACTAGGCTTCCTGCCTTCGATTTTGGGCTCCTTCATTCCATTCTTTGGAAGGCAGTACTTATAGTTTTTATCGATAACTCTACATTTGTTTGATATCTGTTTCCTACACTAGACTGTGAGTTCCATGGATACAGCGGTGTTTCTCTTGTGCTTGGCATAGTGGGTACTCCATACATTGAGTGAATGAAGAAGAGAGGTTGTTGAGGTCATTCCATTCATGGGAAGCATGAGCAAAGGGAAAAAATTAGATTATGTGCAGGGCACTATTGCTGTATTGCCTGAGCAAAAAATCTACTGGGAAAATGAGAGGACTTAGGTGAGGGCACATTTTGTCTTTTGGACTTTATCCTGTGAGTCAGTGTTTCCCAGACTTTTCCATGGGCAATTACAATAAAAATAAAGCTCAGCTGTCATTGATTTACCAACTTTTTAATTTGCTAAGTGCAGGTGTTTCTTAAGAACTGTCATGTACTCACCCACCCTTTCATAAACAAAAGGATATTTTGACACCAAAAAAGCAGGAAGCAGAATCTCACAATAAATAGTCCTCTTAATCGAATACATTAACTTTATGAAAAACTGAGTTGTTCTTTTTCGCCCCTCATTTCACCAGTGTTGGTCTTAGATTCTGTTTGGGATGCACAGGTGGAGGTGATGAGGTGCCATTTAGGGTTTTAAGTGTGGAAGGGAAGTGGCAGGTTTGGGGATTGAATGGTTCACTCCTAGGCTCTGTGGAGATTGAGTTTGGAAGATGAGGGGAATGGAGATGGGGAGACCAGCTTGGAGGCTTTGCAACAGTTCACATGAGGAGCTTTCATTAAGAATTAATTACTTGAGGAGGAGGATGAAGAAGAGGTTAATTCTTTTAAAAACTGCCATTTCTAGAGATATTGTGAGGTGTGATTGAGCTACTTCTCCTGACAGTTTGATTTCTTTTATAACCAACCTAAGGGGTTCATGTTAATTCAGCAGACTGTTGGTGGGCACCTGTGGTGTGTGAAGCTTCCCAGTTGGGATGTGAGAATGAAGATGTGGTGTCTGGTCTCAAATTGCTTGGAGCTTTGAGTTTTATTCTCTTGTCTTAAATGTTATTAAGTTGTTCTGAAACCCCCTATGCTACATAAACAGTAAATGTCACTTTGTCTTTTTCTTTTCCAAAGAACTAAGCAAAAAAACCTTTTGTATAAAATTGTAACTGCCCTTTGAGCCAGCAGTTCCACTTCTGGACATTTATATTTTTTCCCTAGACTCTTCATTATGTAAATGTATATATTTTCCTCCTATATTTCACCTAGCTAACTCATACTCTGTTCTTTCATCTTGGTTTACACGTTACTCAGATTCCTTTCTTGACTATCTAGTAAAAATCTATACTATAGAATCTATACAAATTACGATCTGTACTTTTCCACAGTACCTGATTCTTCATAGACTTTATCACACTTTAGCATTTGGTGTTTCTCTGCTATATCCATTTCTCTGCTAAGACTGCTAGTTCTGTATTGAGGTTCCTGTGTCCGTCTTTTTTCAGTGTTTCATCTCTGGAGCTGCAGCATGACTGATGAATAATAGAAGATTTTATATCACAACCTAAACAGCTTTATTGAGCTATAACAATAATCTACACATATCTAAGTGTATAGGTTGATAAGTTTTGACATGTGTTCATATACACTCATGAAGTCATCACCACAATCAAGATATTAAACTTAGGGCTTCCCTGGTGGCGCAGTGGTTGAGAGTCCGCCTGCCGATGCAGGGGACACGGGTTCATGCCCCAGTCCGGGAAGGAAGATTCCACAGGCCGTGGAGCGGCTGGGCCTGTGAGCCATGGCTGCTGAGCCTGCGCGTCCGGAGCCTCGGCTCCGCAAAGGGAGAGGCCATAACAGTGAGAGGCCCACCTACCGCAAAAAAAAAAAAAAAGATATTAAACTTAGCTACCATCCCCAAAAGTTCCCTTGTGCCTTTCTGTAACTGGCCCTCTGTTCCTCCCTCTCACCTCTCAGTCCCTAAGCCACAACTGCTCTGTCACTGTAGATTCGTTTGTATTTTCTAAAGTATTATATACATAGAATTACACAGTATGTACTTTTTTGTCTGGCTTCTCTTACTCAGCATAATTACTTTGAATTTATTCTTGTTGAATGAGAGAGAGATTTTTAAATCCCTGGCTATAATTGTGGATTTTTCTCTTCTTCCTTGCAGTTCTGTCAGTTTTTGCTTCATACATTTTATGTTGCATAAACATTATTGATTATTATGTTCTCTTGATAAATTGACCACTTTATCATTATGAAAGAACCTTTATATCCTTGGCAATAGTCTGCCCTGAATTCTCCTGTTTGATAGTAAAATAGTCACTTCAGCTTTCTTCTAATTAATGTTACCATAGTGTATACATATATATCTTCCATTCTTTTAACCTATTTGTGTCTTAGTATTTAACATGCATTTCTTTCTTTTTTTAAAATTTATTTTATTGAAGTATAGTTGATTACAATGTTGTGTTGATAACATACATTTCTTTTTGGCAAAAATAGGTCTTTTTTATTCAAACTGATAGTCTTTATCTTGTGATAAGACTTACATTTAATGTGTTTATTGATTTTGTTAGGTTTGGGTCTTTCATCTTGCTGTTGGTAGTCTGTTGGTCCCATTTAGTCTTTGGGAGAATGGAAGTTTCCTGCTTTTCTGCCTTCTTTTGGATTGAGTATTTTTAAATGAATCCATTTTTATCACATTTGTTGGCTTATTAGCTATAGCTCTTTGTTTTGTTATTTTAGGGTTTATAGTATACATCTTTAAATTATTACATGGTGCATTCAAATGGTATTGTACTGTTTCATGTGTAGTATAAGAACTTCACAAAAGTATACTTCCATTTCCTTTATGCTATTGTTGTGCAATTTACTTTTACATATTACTATAAACTTGTAATACATTGTTATTATTTTTGTTTAAATAGTTAATTATCTCTTAAAGAGAAGTAAGAAGTAGAGAAAAAAATCTTATATATTTACATTTCTGGTGCTCTTCATTCCTTTGTGTAGATCCATATTTTTATCTGTATAATTTTCCTCCGCCTGAAGGACTTTTAATATTTCTTGCAGTGTGGGTCTTCTGGTGATTAAATATTTCAGCTTTTGTATGTCTGAAAACATTTTTATTTTGCCTTGATTTTCAAAAGATACTTTTGCTATGTGCGGAATTCTAGGTTAACAGCTTTTTGCTTTCAGTACTTTAAAGATGTTACCCCTTGTCTTATTACTTGTATTGTT